ATACAACCAGTTTTTATGAATATTCATCTAGGCTACAGTACATACAGGAAGTGCACTCACTAAGATGTTCATAGTTTATACAGGTGAATAAGATGCTTGTGATGTTACTCTTAGTGTATACCCACACCGGGCAGGCTTGAAAAATATGCCTGGCCACGGTGGCCAGCACTATTTGACGAAATATACCAGAATATTACCTTATGTCCGTGCTTGATTATCTAAGTTAGAAAAATTGAAACAAAAGAAGTTAAATATGTATATACCTGACAATGAGGCTCATATAAACTATTGGGGTCAGCCTAATTTTGAGCATGTCTACTTATTTCAATATTTCCAAGAAGTAAACACCTGTCGATCCAGACAAGATCTCTGAAGAACAAGAAGTTAAGCTGTCAGGAAGTTTGCTTTGAATTTTAGGTTAACCTAGGGTTAAGCTAACTATGTCTTGAACAACCAGCCATAATGGTATAAATCTGTTTCAAGAACTATATACCTTCACGTTGTCGTACGTTGTTAACTGAAATGAAAAAAATGAGGATTAGCAATAATTACTAGAAAATACATGCATGCAGAAACCCTCGCCTTGATGACAAAACCATTGTATTTTCTGAACATGAAGTATCTAAAGTAGTTGTCATGGTAACACGATAATTCTTAAGAATATTCTTACAAATGAAAAATTGCCTAAAAATATCACTTTTAATTACAAAATTATCAATTTCCCAACATATATATGTTAGGTATGTTATTATACGTAATATAAGCTTCAATTTAAGGTAAAATTCAACAATTCAGTTCTTTATAAAACTCAACTGCCTTAAATGAAATGGCTTTACCGATAAACTTTGAGTTTGCAATAAAATGATTTCAAATTCTCGCTTGCAAATGACTTTCCTTTGTTTTTATTTAAAAAATTCAATTTAATAAAAAAGGGAATCAATATTATTAAAGATACACTGAAATTATATGCTGTCTTGTAATAGTTGTTTCATATACGCAAAGGCCGTCGGGTTTTAAAGTCATTATAAAATCAGTATCTAAAACAAACTTACCTTCGTTAACGTCGGCTCCCTTCTTTTAGCTGTTTTTTTTTCGCCCTTTCTTTTTGACAAACCTTTTGAAATTTACGAAATCTTGCCAAAATGCGAGCAAAAATGAAATATATTTGCAAGAAATTTATCAATCAAGAAATGAAGAAATGTCCGTCATATTTTTGAGATCAGTGAGGATGACCATCCATGGTTGGTGCCCCACGCCCGCGATAATTGATGAACTTTAGACTTCGCTAATGCTTCTGTTTCCCCGGGTGTAAATAGCCGGGGGGAATTAGTACCCTCACACGGCGCTTCGGCGTCTGCTCGGGGATAAAGAGGTGTAATTAAACTATATAAAAAAGCATACTTTTACCACGTTGTTGATGTTGTTGGCATTGAACTGGAAAGAAATAGTATTTTTGCTAGAACAACTATTACAGATTTTTATAAAGTATCAGATATAAGTATAAATATCAAGAACCATACCATTTTGATGTTGTTGCTGATTTACTGAAATCAAATCATGTTATTATATTAGTATTAGTTATAATTATAATTCTGATTAAACAATAACACTGGATATATTACAGTAACAGTATATTCTAAACTTACATGGCTGGACCGCCTCTTCGCGTCCTCCATGGCCAACCTGCTCGTCAACCTCTTTATCTATATGTACAATTAATTAGAAAAAATGTTGCCAAAGTTCATAAGAAATCTGCAATACACTTAGTCTGCAATATATGTACATAATATTTTTTAATTATCAATCGATTATTATTGGCCTGGATCATGCATGCCAGAAAACATTCACAATTTCACCATGGAAGGAATATTTGAAACTTAATCCTTTTCTCCCTTTTGGTACATTTTCTTGTCACCTGATTGTTTGGAATTACACAAGAAAGTTACTATATTGGTTGTTGAAGTTCTCCCAACATTGGCCATACCATTGTGATCTGGATGATGATCCAACCTTGCAAGCCAGGCTCTGTTAGGGAGGGAAGCATGAGTAGAGAGCCTGGCTTGCGAGGTTGATGATGATCCTCATCTACCGAAATGAAATAATAACTTGATTCATTGAAAATAAATGATAGACATATACATGTATATAAAAAACTATACAATTGCCATCCTGCTGCTCATTCACTGAAATGAAATCATGTTTTAAAATTAGTATAAATACACTTTGTTTAAATTATTAATTAACACTAAACTTATCATGTTGTAAACTTACATGGTGCTGCACCTGGAACTTCATCCATTATATCTACAGTTAATTGCGAAAAAACTGTTAACTTCTACGGGAATCTGTAATTATACTAAATATTTTACATGACAATATTTAATTTATTATCAATCGTATAATCATGGGTCATTCCAGAAAATATTTCACAACTCCCTCTTGCAAAAAACAATATAGCTATTACCCTTGGCTTTTCTCAGACAAATGAACCCTTTAAGTGGCAATGAGCCCAGATGTGCCCTACTTTCTGTTATTATTCTGTCTAATGCCAGACAATTTTACTCGTCAGGAAGGGAGTGTTGCCACTTAATGGGTTAATCAGATTATTTGCCCATGGACTATGTGTTCACCAAGTGGCAATGCGCCCAGATGTGCCCTACTTTTTAAATTTATTCCTGTCTGAAGGCAGGCACGTTTTCTCATGAGGGAGAGAGTATTGACACTCCATAGGGTAACATAACCCTTTTCTCTCACAAGAGGCAGATTTTTGTCCTTCCCAAACAGAAATCACAAATTTCCTCCATGGTCTTTCAGACTCAACCAATTTCTGTTCAAAATATTAAATAATTGAATTTAATTACCATCAACCAGTACATCTAAAATAAAAAAGTTCTGTTAGAAGGTTTATTATCTTAAAGTTACCATGTCACATACTGTAGATTATATGAAATTACATTCTCAGTACTGGTATTAATAGTTATGAGAAGCCAGACAGCTCCAGTTTCAGATTCGCAGCTCCAGTTTCAGATTGAATCTGGAGCCAGAGGCATGACGTTCGTGTTCGAATGGCTCTAACTCCACAAAGCCTTCACCCATCCTAACAATAATTTTTTTCATTCTTCGCCAAGAAAAGGACTATCATATAACGCAATCACTGAGTCGCTACTGCTTCTAGATTGCTCTAAACAGCTTGCATAAGCCACGTCGCCAAACCGTGTCGGGTCAATTAAATCTTGAGCAAGACACGATTAGTTCCTATCTAAATCGCTGTATCGTCGTAAGGAATGAATGTAACGCTAGAATAATTTTTTTCATTCTTCACTGATAATTTCCACATCACCTAAAGCATTCGGCTTGTCTGTAGCGCTATTAGTTTTCTCTGGAGGCCTCGCATAAGTTATGTCACTGAACAGCGACATATTGATGGAGACTGCAAACACGCGTGCCGCTTGGTGATTTAAAACGCCACAAGTTACTTTATTGTCATGATATTTTTTTTCATTCTTTACCCATAATATTCGAATCATATGAGATTATATTTAAGCTTATGCCGATTTAAACTTTGACTGAACAGCTTGCACAAGATGAGTCGTCGAACAGCCACATATTGACACTTACAGTCAGTCGACAAGCCAGCATACTAAAAACGCTCTATCTCAGTCAAAAATTAATATATCCTTTAAATATTATTTTTCATTCTTCCCTGATAAATTACACATTATCTAAAATAATCAGCTTGTCTTTAGCGCTTTTAGTTTTCTCTGGAGGCCTCGCATAAGTTATGTAATCGCTCCGCGACATATTGATGGAGACTGCAAACACGCGTGCCGCTTGACGATTCAAAACGCTCATTCTCCGCCACAAGTTTCTTTATCGTCATAATATTTTTTTCATTCTTTACTCATAATATTCGCATCATATGAAATTATTTTTAAGCTTATACCGATTTAAACTTTGACTGAACACCTTGCACAAGACGAGTCGTCGAACCGCCACATATTGACACTTACCGCAGGGCAGTCGACAAGCCAGCATACTGAAAACGCTCTATCTCAGCCAAAAATTATCATATCCTTTAAATATTATTTTTCGTTCTTCCCTGATAAATTACACATTATTTAAAAGAATCAGCTTGTCTTTAGCGCTTTTAGTTTACTCTGTAGGCCTCGCATAAGTTAGGTATGCTATTGTAATGGGCCAACCCCACGTAAGCGGGATTTCCCCTTTGTTTACTACAGCTCGAACTATGTAATTGATACATATAAATGTGTTTTATAATATTACTTAATTGCAAACAAATTAAGAATTGGTATAATATTTTATAGTTGGGTTCCAATGGGTGTTTGTATATTGTGAGTAATGAGTAACGGATTCTCTTATACTTACATTAGAAAAATAAACCATGATAATATTGACAGTGGTTCTACTCACTCGCTGCCGTGAATAATTATAATGCTGTGACAGTGTCAGGGCCGGTTGTATAAAAAAAGTGATTAAATTTAACTATAGACCCATTGCACATGACGTCACAGCGCCTGTGACGATGCATCTGGAGGACAAATTAGCAATCTGCACATGACGTCACAATGTATGCGTAATAGAACTTTTGTAAACAAAACAAATTTTGTAAAACTTTATTATAATTTTGTATTAAAATGGTCAATTTTTTCGGTGTATGTGATTATATAGATAAAGGTAAAATAAACCTGGTTTACTTCATAAGATTTTATTCACTACAAACTTGTTTCGTATGACAAGCAATGCTTGCCACACTCATCAGGTGAATTTAAATGGCGACATTTAAATTCACCTGATGAGTGTGACTAGCATTGCTTGTCATACGAAACAAGTTTGTAGTGAATAAAGTCTTATGAAGTAAACCAGGTTTATTTTATCTTTATCTTTATTAGCTCTATGCTTCGGTAAATCGAGCACTCTACTACTCATAATATATGATTCTAAATACATATTTGGTATGTATATATATACGTTTGACGATTCTACTCTGGATAACACATATGAAACAAACACTCTCTGATATCTTGCCTTTCAATGGTGCGGAAAAGATTAATTAGTAGAGATGAACCATTGCTTGAAAGAGCCTTTCTACATAGTTGCACTAAAGAAAGTGGATTGCCAGTGAGATAGTTCATGTACTGGTGTAGGAGACTGAAAAATTCCTCATTCACGACGTTGAACACCCAGCTTGGAATAAATGTGGAGAAGAGACCATGGTCTTTCAAAACGACAATTGCACATTTGGCAAAGAAAGTGTCATTCATTTCGACGAATACATCATCACCCGGTGCGTCACACCAATTTCGGCAGTAAGTTTGATAAATACCGCTAGCAAAGTTTTGATAAGTCATTGGAACAGGTTTTCTGCTAGAACCTGTCTCACATTCTGCAAGTGCATTTCGCAAATTAGACTGGACATTCCAGAGATTGCGAGATAGGAAAGCCATCCATTTGTCAGGAAATCCATCATCCCAAGATTTTTCCATCGAAACTCAAAGCCCTGGTTTTCTTTGTGTGCAAGTAGTTTCCAGCGCTACAAAAACGGTGAAAAACGTTGGTACAAATCAGTCAACATGTGCTTATCTGTGAAATGTTGAACAACGTATCGTCTCGGAGCCTGAATTTCCAAAGTACAAGAATTTTCAAAGAATGTGAGACGAATTTTCAATAGACAACAAAAAAATTAATATTACGTATATGAATCACTAATTAAGTCTAAAAGCATTGAAGTGGCAAGAGTACACAAATACCATTGCTAGACAAACGATAATTTGTTTCCGTTATACCGATTAATTTAACATACCTTTCCAATTATTGTCTATATCACTTATCGTCTATCGTTTACAGCTATAGTATACCTGTTTTTCGTCTTTTTCTAAGCTTTTCCACTCGGTGAAAAATTTGGTATTTTTTTCTATTACCACACACGCACCGACCTCGTTGTCAGTTTTGTTCTGCTTCCACATTGAATATGCTGTCACTTTTCAGTTCCTCTTGGCTACAATTGTTGCAGTTCTTGTCCACAGTTCACCATCAGCCGTATATGTCCATTCATCCATTTTGTTTACATTTTCTTTTCGTTTTTTTTTCTTTTCGTTTTTTTTCTTCTCGTTTTTTTTCTTCACCTTTATGTCCGCCTTAAAGGGTTTTGGAATGACATGCGATTCTTCGTCGGTAACAGGAGTGCCCAGCTCGTACACACTTGATCGATATTTCCTCTAAATTCAAATTTAAAGGAATATGGTTTACTTAAGGTGGTACACCACAACAAGTTATTTTTTTTTTTAAAAAGGCTATTTCATAATTTTTTTGCATAGAACTGTTTATCTGACAAAATGGTGAGTAATGACACATTTATTATAATTATGGTTGCCATGGTTACCGATATAATTACCCCCAGCAGCCAAAAAATGGTGTTGCGATAAAAAGGATTACAAAACAATCAAACATGATAAATGTCCAAAAATGGTAAAAATAGATACTATTATATCACATCTATGCTGTGAACTAGGATCTTTAAAAAATATTGAGTTTTAGTTTGTTTTTTTTGAAGGAGTTGATGTTGCGTATATTTTTATGCACTTTGTTGTCAGAAAAATAGTGATTGTGCCTAGACAATATAACCAATCAAAAAAATCCTAGTTCACAGCATAGATATATTACATCCAAAGCTTCATTGAAAATTTCAAGTCAATTGGTTCATTACTTTAGGAGATATCGTTTTTACCGTACGGCTAATTACATCAAAATTTGATATTGAGTAAATTTACTCTAAAGTTACGCATGTTCAGCAATGGCAAGGAAGTACCTGTAACTTTCAATAAACAGCTTAGAATTCTCCACAGGCATATGTCTGCCCTTCTGCTTGCCTCTGCTAGTCTAAATATTCAGTGTAGTGCAGCTTATTCCCTTCCACAGAGTGTTCAAAGATCCTACGAGCCCCTTCCGGTTCCGTCGCTGGTGCCGATCTTTCAAAATTAGCTTAGCATTTTGACTTGTGATCAATTTTCCAGGCATTATTCTTTGGTGTATCATCTTCATGTATGTTACACATACAGCTTACAAAACTTACTTAGAACTTCCACATCAACAAATTTTCCAGTGTTCATTGAGATGGTGGTAACACACCCATTTATCGAGAGAAACCTCGTCTTCAAGTACCATCAGATGAAATGCCACAGTCAGCAACTTCATCTTCAGACTTATCTTTAAGCACATGTATTTCCCTGGCAGCATCACTCATGGTTTCATGACAAACTTCTTTGGCAGCTTTTAGAAGAGCTTTGTTATGTGAAGCATACGGTGAAGATCTTGGGATTGGTGGTATGTTCATAAGACCGCAAAACCTTTCAGCGGATAAAGCACCACAGCCTGCCGATCTCATCACATTCTCATAAACCAATCTCCTGTTCACTTCAAAGAAATAATTTATTTTCCATAAGTGTAATTCCTTCCAATTACAGCCTTTTCAATTGCAGCACTAAACTTGAAGTGCAACCTTTACGTTTGGAAATGTTTTTAGTCTGTTCCAAATTAAACTGCTGGCATTGTAGCCATTGTTTTAATACAGGGCAACATTTTAAAAATGGTTGATAATATTCCCAGTTCAATAAAACGGAAAGCTATCGCTTCTACTTCTGTGTTTTCACGTCTCTGGCGTTCTGGTGTACCGATTTTTCGAGCGGATGCTGAAGGTCCTTCTGGTGGACTGGCAGTGGCATCATTTTAATATAGCATAATTTTATCACTTGAAGATGAAGTCGCACTCTAGGTTTGCTCGCTTTCTCTGCCTTGTGGCATGGCGATTTCCATAAAATTTCCATTTCTTAGAGTTCCCTGAACGAGTTTTCCCCATTTCAGATTAGATATTTCAGCAATAAGAACAAAATATGAAAGCAAATTTCCCACAACGATATAAACACAACAAGATGGCCGACCAAAAATTTTCGATATATTTAAGAGCAAGAACACGTCATGTAAGACAGAATTTAGAGACCTAAATATGAATAGAGTAGAGGGGGGAGGGGGGAGGAACTTTGTTCATTGATCTATGAGAAAAAATCACAGAATACTGCGCATCTATTGGACCATTTTCATAACAAAATTGGTTGCTAAGGGCGTTGCTAAGGTACTAAAAGCCTAATGGCACTGAAAAACATCCAATAACTCAAAATCACCATTAGAATACCATAAAAACAGGATGGAATATGAAAGAACAACAGTCAAGGAGCATATAAATTGATTTTTTAAAATATCGAAAATTTCGCCAAAATTTTGTGATATACCACCTTAACATTATAAATGGTAAATTATGCTTGTGAAACTGGATAAAATTGTAATAATCAGCTTAGTCAATATTAATTTTTTACTTTCAAGTTAGTTCTTTCCCGAAAATTAAACTTTTTTTCGGGAGTTTTTTTCTCTTTGGATTTGTCTGTGTCTAGAAAGTTGAATGACATATAAACATGAGGCAATTGACACACCAGGCGGAAATCTTAGTTTAAAGATAAAGTTTATATATACATATAAAAACTTTACTACCACAACATGTAATATTTTTAAGATTAAATTTTTAAGATTAAATCGCTTACCTCAAAATTCTGCAACAGTCTGTTTCATCAGTAAAGAATCATCAGCAGACTGTTGCGGAATTTTGAGTATATAGTGATGAAACAGACTGTTGCGGGATTTTTATGTAAGCGAATCTATATATATATATATATATATATATATACTGAAGACTATATTCAAAAAAATAGTCGATGAGTTGACGTAAGGTAGAAGAGCGCTCAATACCATAATAAGTAGAGCGGAATTAATTCAGTCAAGGTTTGAATGTTTGCGTCGCTACTCTGAGTTTCACGCTTTACGCGATCATGAGGCAACTGACAGATATTATTCAATATTCATAATAAATATAGGTTATCATTTTACAACTTGATTAAGTAGGTATCTGGTTACATGTCTACATTTGGAAAACAAGTCAGAGCGTTTGTTCAGGCATTCAGTTTTCTTCGCTTTCATAATAAGTAGTTTCTCCTCGAGGCATAAATTACACCGTTTAGATCCTGGTTTGTATGCTTTGACTTTCTTCATAATGGACCACTTTATTGTATACTGACTTTTTTCTGACTTCAGTTTTTTTTTTTAATAATATCTGTAAGTTGCCTGATGATCGCGTAAAGCGTGAAACTCAGAGTAGCGACGCAAACATTCAAACCTTGACTGAATTATATATATATATATATATATATATATATATATATATATATATATAGATATATATATATATATATAGATAGATAGATAGATATATAGATAGATAGATAGATAGATAGATAGATGTGAATTGTTCATTTTGTAACCAACATAGGGCATTTTTGTAACCTCACTATTGTAACCTATGTAGGGCATTTTTGTAACCTTGATAAGGCATTTTTCTAACCTGGGTAAGGCATTTTTGTAACCTAATAGGGCATTTTCGTAACTTGTCAGAAAAACATGATGCGTTCTTATGATTGTTATTGAAACTAAACAGTTATTTCATGCAATTAACTATGCAGTTATTTGAATGATAATTATGAAACTATTTCAATGAAACTATGCAGTTATTTCAATGATAACTTGAGGTTTAAAAATTTGGACAGCATAGCCAAATAGGTGGACTCACATTCTCAACAAGCAGCAAAAGTTCAACTCTATACCTAAACGATATAATAAGATTCGACGTTTCCTGACAAAGGGCCTTGTTGAATCTTATTGTATCGTTTAGGTAGTGAGTAGAATTTTTGCTGCTGGTTTATGTTGTTATCCGCTGCCCACAGTGGTAACATTTTGAGTACTAACATCGTAAGTGTTTTCAAATGTTCAGCATTAACTCTCGTTGAAGCTTCATATTGCATTTTAAATCTTCCACGGTAGAACCTAATTTTTATTCCTTGTAAACCTACATCATCACGCCCACCATGTTAATCCACAAGAAAAACATGATTTACAATAACGGTTTCATTTTGTGGAAACACCACGTATATTACGTATCACCAGGTATATTGTTTCCACAAAACGAAACCGTTATTGATACTTTACATGCAAACCTACAAGGAACTTAACATGATTTACATGTGTTTTTTTTCGTAAGGGCAAAAAAGGTTAAATCCGACCAATTGTACGATTGCTGTAACGAAAATGAATCAACCACAACCATTTATTATTCCCCGTTATTTTAATTTTCAACAAAACACATCAAGAACAAGAACCTATACCTGTCGCGTTTCAAGGGTGATTGCTATTCTTAGACTTCTGTTTGAGTCTGTTTTTTATAAATTCTTGCTAATTCTGAATGATTACCCGTATATAACCGTAATGCTACAAGAGGCTAAACTGAAAAATAGAAAACGCCCCCAAAACGTGACTCGTATGTATAAAATTGCGGCTATTTACAATCTTGCAAAAAATGCTAAACAATGCCAAAAAATATTACAAAATTATGTAAAAACCTTCATAATAACGACGTATTGTAACTAGAACCTTTGTAACCACGTTATAATATGAAAAAATAAATCCTATATGCTACTACTTGCTAGTTCAAATAATGTTCTCTCCTAAACTCTTATTTGTCTGTATATATTGCCATATATTTATAGAAATAATGAACTCGTTAATGATAATTAGGGTATTAGCTATATATTTCACTATTATATACCAAACGATGGGCACTCCGTATATAGAAATAATTTTTATTACAAATGTAATAAAAATAATTATGTCCTATCTACGAACTGACTATAATTACCTACATAATAATATACATAAAGATATTACTTGACTGTGATTGGTTGATTTCAATGCAGTTAATCCCAAACAACAGTGCAATTTTCTGTAATCAAAGTGCAATTTTCTGTAATCACAGTGCAATTTTTTGTAATCACAATGCAATTTTCTGTAATCACAGTGCAAAAATCTGTAAGAAACTGATCTGATTGGTGGAAAAACATTGTGATGATTAAATCAACCAATCAGTTTAAAGCAATTTAGTTTAAACACAGAGTAGAGACATACAGAGACGTAACTACTGTACCCACTTTTTTGTGCGCATGCTTGGCAAGTCACTAGATGCATGCATCTGATTGGATGACGACCTGATGACGACTCACTTTCAAGCGCAGTTGATCATTTTTCGCCCGGTCGCCTGAAAAAAAGTGGGTACATGATATCGTAATCTTCCGCAGTGTTTACAACGGTCAGTTACGTCTCTGTATGTCTTATCTACTCTGTGGTTTAAAGAAGTAACGGTCACAGATTGCTTCAAAACAAAACAAACATGGCGCCGCGCTACAGTAAAGTAAAAGCGTGAAAAATATGGCTTTTATCTTTATTTTTAAATGGAAAAGCATTGACCTTAAACTACCCTGGATTCCAGAGCCTTCGACAGTAAATAATAAATTGATATGTCGCGAAGGCTCTGGTTCAACGGGGCGATTCTTTGATTAAACCGCGCCAATCACAAAACAGAATTAGTGGTTTTAGTACAGATTCGAAGGCTCTGGAATCCAGGGTAACCTTAAACAAGACTAAGAAGAATTACGTAGTTGAGTGGAATTTTCAAGCTGTTAGCGTTGCATAATGTGATATAACAAAGCCAGGAAAAGTTTGCCGGTGGAATGTTCGCTATAAACGTGTAAGTTAAAATTACAATTGTCTCGAACATTTTTATGTAAATTATTAATAAGTAATAGCATGGTTTCTCGTGAAATTTGGATAAACATGCACTCGTGAGTTTTTCAAAGACCTCAAATAGCACTCGTCCTTCGGACTCGTGCTATTTTGAGATATTTGAAAAACTCACTCGTGCATGTTATATCCAAATTGCACTCGAAACCATGCTATTACGTATACTTAGATAACCATGTTCGGTTAGGTTTATCTGCATCACAATGTGCATTTGAGTTATTTTGGTTGTTGCCTGTGTTTTCGTCTTTCATACTTAATGCGATTCACTACTTTCTGAACCGATAGTTTCTTCAAAATATTTTCTCCTTCTTTGTTTGTAGACAATCTCTTCTCGATTTCGATGCGACAGATCTTTTTGTCTTCAGTGATCATGTCTTTAAACATCTTTTGAAGAGAATTCATCTCCTCGTTAGTAAAATTACTGTTCCTTTCGCTGGGTTGAATTATGCTTATGGACAATTCTTCATCGACAGTCTCACTACATTCTTCAAAGCGTTGAAGCTTATCCTCCAACGATTCACAAGTTTGGGGCAGCTCAGGAATATTTTGCAAAGATGCCGATTCTTTGTTTATCGTTTTTCTAATTTTGTCATATATCCGTCGAGGTGACATACCATAAAGTTCTTCGTTGGATTCAATACCCTCGCGAACACGTTCCATTGTTATTGTTTTCGCAGCGATGTCTTTTCCAAATATTGTCCTGACTTTCTCAAAATCACTGTCGTTCCATTCGCCCTTCTGATTTGTTGCACACTCTGTTTCGCCAGCAGTGTCCTCTTTGTCCCTGGTTTCACTGTCGCCCTTTTTACCCGAATCCTGTTGCTCTTCACCATCACACCTCATTAACTCTCCAAGTTCCTTTGATGTTTCCACCGATTCCTTTGTTTTTTCTGTCAGGAGATAATATTTTTTAGCAGTTGTTTCACTGTGAGCCATATGACGAGCTAGTTTTCCGCTGAATGTAGGTTTGCCAGAATGAACTGCCGTCACCGCAGCTTTCCGGAACGATGTCGATGTGACTTTGACATTGATTCCACTCTTCTTAAAAACTGACTGCACAGCCTTTGTTATATGCCCAGACACGTTTCCACACGTTGCACTTGCGATTTGTGGTCGCATCACCTCAACAAATACCGAGAGCCAAGACTTTAATTTTGAACTCAAGACTAGACGAGCTGGGCCATGAACGTGTGAGGTTTTATGTTTGAGTACCGTTATAATGTAGGTATCATCTTGCTTCGTCATTCTTTTATATTCGTCAATGGTCATGCCAGCAAGAACGCCAGGACGATTAGCATTGTCTATAAAAATTTGTGTGAAGAGGAAATCTCGCACCAAGGTATAACTCTGCTGCGTGACTACCGTTGTTTGTGAGTTGTCTGAATGCTTTCCGATTATTTTGACTGCTTCTCTCGCCGTCTGACTTTTCTCAAAACTCCAAATATTTCCTGGAGTTAGACGATTCAACATGTCTTCTTGAAGTTTTTGCCATTTCCGTTCGCTCGATTCCCTCTTGTATGACACCGACCACAACTTTACTTTTTCTCTAGCAGCATTTACTTCTTCAACGTCAAAATTAAAATTTTCTGGCCTGTCCGATACGAGAAACGTATAAAAATGACGAAGACTCATCAGGTACGATTTAATGGTCCCAGCTTCGTATCTTTTTTTCTCTACGTGGCTCTTCAAGAACACTTGGCGGACCAGAGATTGCATATCTTCAGAGATTGCATATCTTCTTCGTCGTCTATAACTTTCAACAAAGAATACAATTGAGAACTGTGTTGTTTTACAGTTTTTTCATCACGTTTTTTTCTTCCCCGTTTAAATAATGCCGACCGATCCAAAAACCTGCATGACTCTCTTAAACTGACTCTCTACAAATTCGCTATTATAGCCCCTTTTAACCAGAAACCCTTTCAATTCCTGAAGCCTACTCTCAATGCCTGTCCAAAAGGAATTCCCCTCTTAACATGTGGAGGATGGCAGGACTTAAAATTTAAATACTGATGCACATTTTTGAGAGTAGGCTTCAGGAATTGAAAGGGTTTCTGGTTAAAAGGGGCTATAATAGCGAATTTGTAGAGAGTCAGTTTAAGAGAGTCAGGTTTTTGGATCGGTCGGCATTATTTAAACGGGGAAGTGAACAAACTAGAAGGGGAAATAATAAGAGTACCTTTATCATAGATTATCACCCAGCATTGCGGGAAATTTATGGAATTTTTGGGAATTGCAAAATATTGTAGGCTTATCTAGCAAGTTCCTAAGTGTCATGCCAGAGCCACCTATGGTGTGTTTTAGGAGATCCAAAAACCTTAAAGACCATCTTGTTCGGGCTAAATTGCCTAAGCTTGAGGTTGCAGCTAAAGGGATGGTTAAATGTGGGGGGAAGAGGTGCAAAGTTTGTGATTCCATTGTGGTAGCGGATACTTTTCAAAGTACAGTACAATGGCGCACGTTTCACATTAACCATCACTTTGATTTTAACTCTCAGGGGGTGGTTTATTTAATTACTTGCGGAAAGTGTAGTAAACAATACGTGGGCAATACTATAACGTCAATTCGTCTTAGATTTAATAACCACAAGAGTTTGCTTAATAGATATTCTAAGGGCCAAAGAGGTTTATGTGGTCAACATTTGTATGAACATTTTTTTGAGTTGGGCCATTCGGGTCTTAATGACTTTAAAGCACAGATTATCGATATCACGGATATTAATAACAGAGGGAAAGATTTTGGATTGAAAAATTGAATACATATGTACCACTGCTATTAAATTTGAGGGAGGAATATTAATGCAAGTCTATATATTATTAGTGTTTGTTAATTAGATTGGGCCGAAAGTATTTAAGGACATGGATTGAACTTGTCTCGTTTCTGACGAAGGGGCTGTGCCCCGAAACGTATTTATGTATTTATTTGAAATTTAATAAAATTTATTTCTAACTTGAAGTTTTATTTATATATATATATATATATATATATATATCAACATGTGAAAGGTTATCGATTTTTTTGTGGCCATATAGTCAGCGAGTGCTTGAGGGGTTTGGACGGCATTTACGTCACTGCCGGCAACCGTCGGCCGATATCGACAAGTGCTCGCGACTAAGATCCTGTGTTTATATTTATATCTTTACGTTTCCAACTCTTAGCCGGATGTGATGTCATTTACTCAACACGCTTCTTTCCCGAAGGAGAAATTAATATTATCAAAGGCTTATACTAGGCTGATTTTTGTCCAAAATTATGTCTTCTGACGAAAGCCACAGCTCAAATTTTGCAACACAATCATCTTGCGAACTCCTTTTGCCGAAGACGTTTCTTGTGATAGCGGGGATGATGTAAATATGGAGAAAAGTGTGAATTTGTGCGAGGCCTATGATACTTCAGTCGAAGCTATTGCCACTGAAGAAACATTAATACATGAAGAGTAATATAACTGAGAGAGAGAGCAAAAGCAGCAAACACTGTCTGTTAGATTGTCTGGGGAAACGTCAACTGACACCTGGTACGTTTTGGATTGTATTTATTTACGTTTTGGTTATATTTGTGACACAAAACAAACATGTGATGGCCATTAAAAACAAAACAAATGCTTACTGGTCTCCTTATAAAATATTATTTTCACCTCCGTTATTGCACGCAACGTCTTCAAAGAGAGATGGCTTAAAGATTACTGTGTTGCCAAATTGAAACTCGTAAGAAAACATATTACTTTGTGTAAGAAAACATATTACTTTGCACAAAGTTGTGGGAAATATATATACTTCAATTAGATATACTTCAATTCAATATAATATTTTCTGTGTTGGTGTAATGTACTCAGGTGAATAAGATGCTGTAAATTAATGTGGTAACTGTGTCCTGGCTCATTGTTGTTTATGTGAACCTTGTAAGGAAAAAATGCTGGAAGAAAACATGCATATGACTGCTGCTTAATGGAGCATCCAGCATTTGATATTGGTTGTTTGAAACATTGGGTGTTAACAAACTTGCTGGTTTAAGTTACAAAACCCAAATAAAAGGCTACCAAATTATACCACTCTGTATACCAAAGGGAAAAAGAGTGAACCAGAGTATGTATTTCAATGTGTAGTTCTAAGCAATACCCCCACCCCCCTAAATACCCTAATGGAAGAGATTTACTTACCCATCCCTCTAGATTTTTCTAACTGTCACTGACAGCTTGTTTCC